TGGAAGCATCCTGGGGTAGTGTAGATTCTAAATTGTTCAAATCATGACCCCCGGGGGTAGGGCGGGGCCACAATAGGGAATACAAGTTTTACATTGAAATATATAGGAAAAATCTTTAAAAATCTTCTTCTCAAGAACCACTGAGCCAGAAAAGCTGAAACTTATGTGGAAGCATCCTGGGGTAGTGTAGATTCAAAATTGTTCAAATCATGACCCCCGGGGTAGGGCGGGGCCACAATATGGAATCCAAGTTTAACATTGAAATATATAGGTAAAATCTTTAAAAATCTTCTTCTCAAGAACCACTGAGCCAGAAAAGCTGAAACTTATGTGGAAGCATCCTGGGGTAGTGTAGATTCTAAATTGTTCAAATCATGACCCCCGGGGTAGGGCGGGGCCACAATATGGAATCCAAGTTTAACATTGAAATATATAGGTAAAATCTTTAAAAATCTTCTTCTCAAGAACCACTGAGCCAGAAAAGCTGAAACTTATGTGGAAGCATCCTGGGGTAGTGTAGATTCTAAATTGTTCAAATTATGACCCCCGGGGGTAGGGCAGGGCCACAATAGGGAATACAAGTTTTGCTTTGAAATATATAGGAAAAATCTTTTAAAATCTTCTTCTCAATACCCACTGAGCCAGAAAAGCTGAAACTTATGTGGAAGCATCCTGGGGTAGTGTAGATTCTAAATTGTTCAAATCATGACCCCCGGGGGTAGGGCAGGGCCAAAATAGGGAATACAAGTTTAACATTGAAATATATAGGAAGAAACTATAAAAAATCTTCTTCTCAAGAACCACTGTGCCAGAAAAGCTGAAACTTACGTGGAAGCATCCTGGGGTAGTGTAGATTCTAAATTGTTCAATCATGACCCTCGGGGGTAGGGCGGGGCCACAATAGGGAATCCAAGTTTTACATTGAAATATATAGGAAAAATCTTTAAAAATCTTCTTCTCAAGAACCACTGTGCCAGAAAAGCTGAAACTTACGTGGAAGCATCCTGGGGTAGTGTAGATTCTAAATTGTTCAATCATGACCCCCGGGGGTAGGGCGGGGCCACAATAGGGAATACAAGTTTTCCATTGAAATATATAGGAAAAATCTTTAAAAATCTTCTTCTCAAGAACCACTGTGCCAGAAAAGCTGAAATTTATGTGGAAGCATCCTGGGGTAGTGTAGATTCTAAATTGTTCAAATCATGACCCCGAGGGTAGGGCGAGGCGACAATAGGTATTACAAGGGGGGAAGTCTGGTAATGAATAGCATGGCCAAATTTACTCAGGTGAGCGATGTGGCCCATGGGCCTCTTGTTTAAATGTGTATTGCGATAGGACTTAAAATTGGAAAATATTTTCTGTATATCTCTACATCGGAAAATATAAAACAAATATTTTTTTTTATATTTCCTTTTTAAAACAACATAGATAATTATGCATAGCTAATTAAATACTGAATTAAATATTTATCTTTGCAGACAATATGCTCTGGGTTATAGAACATGATGTGAAAGCGTTTCGTAAGGAACCTTGTAATCCTTTGGATTTTCAGATTTAAGGCCAATGCGAAAACCCAAAGACGCCGACATTTTATTATGCTACTGTAATCGAAGATCCGGGGGGCATACAGTTTTTGTCCTGTCCACCTGTCTATTTGTCTGTTAGACTGTGTTAGCCTCTTTGTCCGCAAAAACTTTAACTATGCCCATAAAGTTTGATTGGTTGGAACTACTGCTTTCATATTTCTTATGTGTATTCCTAGTAACAAGGACTTCCTTCAGGTACCAACATATTTGACCTCTTGACCTTGAACTTGGAGTTTGATCCTCTTTCGCAAAATTTTACTAAACTATAACCTTGGCCAAAACTTTTGAACAGTTGGTGCTATGGCTTTTATACTTCACATCTGTATCCCTTGTGATAAGTCTCCTCCTTGGGTATAAATATGTTTGACCATTTGACCTTGACCTTGGAGTTTGACCAACTTTTAAACAACTTTAGCCTTGACAATAACTTTTGAATGACTAGTACTAGGGCTTTTATATTACATAGGTAATTTTCTTGTGACAAGGCCTGTCATTGTATACCTTTAATTTTGACCATTTTACCTTGACCTTTGAGTATGTCCTACTTTTGAAAAACTTTAACCTTGGTTTTAACTTTTGAACAGTTGGTGCTAAGGCTTTTTTAATACCACATGTGTATTCCTTGTAACAATTAAGACCTTCCCTCAAGTACAAACAATTATGATCCCTTGACCTTGGAGTTTGACCTTTTAAAAAAATTAACCTTGGCCATAACTTTTAAACTGTTGCTGCTGTGGCTTTCATACTAGTATATATTTCACAGTATATTCTTTGTTCAAGACCTTTATTTGGGTAATAACATTTTTTTTTATCTTTTGATCTTAACCATGGAGTTTGACTTGCATTTGAGAAACTTTTAACTTTTGCCATAAGATGCTATATGGGGGCATCAGTGTTTCAAAAATCACACGTTGTTCAGTATCCAAATCGGGCATAAAACATTTACAATGATCCTTTAAAGCAGTGAGTTGAACCTAATAAATTACGACTATAGAAATTATGATAATTTATTTCGATGTATGGTCTAAAAAAACGTTTATTATACCTCTGTGAAAACTAGCTTACAAGTGAAAAATCACTAGTAAAATAGAATTTGATTGGCCGAGAAAGTCACGTGTCCATCATGTTTGCCCTGCAACAAAACGTCGTGTTTCACGATTGTGACGTCACAATTAAACGAGTGAGGAGTTAGATTGTTTATAGCGACGCTGCTAACTTCGTTCGCGCGGTAACAACAACTAAAAATTCACCCCAAAAAATCACCTTAATTAATGGAATTGCATACAGATAGTAGATTAAACGTTCTTTGTTAAAATGTTTGCACTTTTCAAAATTCGTTTATGGAAATACAGCTAACATACGTCATGAGACGTCACAGTCCAGACATTCCAAATGTCTCGTGCTGTTTGAAGAGGCGGATCTTAAAATTAAGTGAACAATGCAGTCGCCCAACGGTCGCACCGTCAACATATTATCGTTGATTGATTGTGTCGATTTAAATGTGTAAAAATGTAATGGTGTTTGAATGTTACTGGTGTAATCACACAAACTTGTCACGTAGGAATTTTTTTTTTAATGAAACGAGGCTATTGGTGTACCTGTAACTTACATCTCTTTCATATCATTCTCATCAAATGCATGTTTGCTTTATTCATTGGATCTCCTTTGTAATTCCTGCATTTTGGTTAATTCAGTATTATAAACAATTTATTGCATAATAGTGAGGGAGACATAAAGATTTCTTCGCAAATGAAAATTCATATTTCTCTCGGGCGTTGCCTTCGGGGAGTATGATTTTTCATGGGCGAAGAAATCTTCATGTTGCCCTCAGGGAATATGATTTTTTATGGGCGAAAAATCTTCATGTCTCCCTCACTATCATGCAATAAATGCAAACTGTGAACTTGTCAATTCCGAAACACACAAAAGGGTATCGCTGATATCATACAGAGTGTATCATTGCCTTGATCAGGCACATAGGAAGCAAATTCAGGGGGGTTTTTGGGGTGGGGGGGGGTGGGGGCACAGCCATACATTTTCAGTTGACAGTTGAGGGGGTACTACCACCATAAATTTCCTGACAAGCAAAAAAAAAGGTCACCAACTACCAAAAATTCCTTGACAAGCAAAAAAAAAAAAGGTTATCAGACGTTTTTATTGAGGTGGCACAAGCTATAGTATCTATGTCTACTATAGTAATCTATATATCGGCAAAATTATTGGGGACACGCCCCCCCCCCCTCCCTCGGTTCCTACGGCCATGTTGATTAAATTTAGGGTTACTAAGGAAAGAATGTTTTGACTGGATGAATGGTCTGAAAGAACATGTGTTAACTTGTCGAGTCGGTAACACATAGATGGGGTTTGCTTATAACCAGAGTGTGTCATGGTTTGATGCAAGGTCATTTGAACGAGATCAACGGAGAAACAACATTCCTTAACTGTCTTTCTACTGGTGAGACATTGCAAGTTGATACCCCTTACAAGATTGCTTATAACCTTAGAATGTGGCATGACCTTGACTCAAGGTCACTTCTTCCTGTTCGCAGCTCCAACGGAAGACCTACTCGTTGCTTTGCAACGAGTTCTGCTCTAGTTTTTATGCTATTTTCATGACAAACATATTTTGTATGAGCAATATAAATATGGTCAATCAATGATAAATTTATTTATAAACATTATTACATGAAATACATGATTATTATTACTCCTAGATAAGAATTCGCCTCTCGACTAACTTTGTATCCGCCACCGGAAATAGTCATGAAATGTCAAAATTAACATACTGCACATTCCTCGAGCAAATTCTTACCATTATTTTTGCTTGTCTTTTATCAAATTATTTTCAAATATATATGTTTTATTTTGCTCGAGGGGTGTGCACTACTTCAATTTTGGGAATTTGTTGTAAAAATAGTGGAAAAAATAGCAATTTCCGGAAAGAACGGATGTTTTAATCCTGTGAATACTTCTAATCAACGTACTTGCGAAATTTTGTTATGCATATATCAAATCTACCAGTCTTCTTCTACATGTACATAGTAATATTTTTGCAAACGTGTATATCAAAATACGAAAAATTGTGGGCCTTCGAATGATACATGTACATAACGTACTTAGTTCTTTGTCCCATTTTCAATTGCATCAATGCAGATTGATTTTTATCTTCAGTTTTAATTTTTCAAGAAACTTAAAAAACAACACTGAAAAAATAGTAATAAAATTCAGATAACTGCACCTTGAAACAATTTCTGAAACAATGGAACCATGTTCTGATATAACTTATGCTTCACAATTCTACTTTAAAGTCTCACATGCTGTTGGTCAGGAGTGCAACAATATAATGTTCTAATAGACATCTGAATAAATATCAAGGTACTCTCTAGCAAAATACATATGATTATTTGTACTTACAATTTCTAGTACTGGTGTTGCCCAGGTTACAGTTGCCATGACAAACATGAATATACCAAGTACATTAAGGATAGCTGTCTCATGGACAACAACATGGATAAGATACTGATAAAATGTCAGGAGCCCTAGTCCTGCCATAGTGGCCTGTGTCATTGGTTTACTCTAATGACAAAAAAAAAATAAATAAATAAAACACTCAAGTACATTATCATGTAGTTTCTAGAAAAGTAATATACATCTATAAATTACTTTGTTAAAGTCATATATGACGTATTTTTATAAGTTCAGACTAACTAAAATTAAAAAGATCTTTCTATTTGTTTTATTACTTTATATAAAGATAGGACTATTCTCTAAATTACACAATTTAAGTCAATCACGTTCCAAAGATATTAGAAATTCAAAACAATAACCGATTTATTTACCAACTCCGCATTTAAGGGAGCCGACTGGGGTTTTATTGTGTGAAAACTTCTATAGAGAAACTCTTTAATTTTATACCATATGTACCTTACATTGACTTCAGTATACATGCCTAACTTAGTGAAAATCTACCGTCTGGTTCTTTTTATGGATCATCTCAAAATACAGGTACATTTACAATAAGATTATATAGGAAAATACTATTTTTTTGCATTTCGGAGCAAATTATACAAATGCTACTTTAGACTTTTTGCTCAAATTATATTATTTGATGAGTAAAACTATATTGTACATTTTATGCAAGAAACACAAAATTCTACCGTCTGGTTTTCAGAGGGGGCATCTCAAAATTCATTATATTTTCCAGAATTAATGGAGTACTACAAAACAGATTTACATAAAAAATAATAAAAATGATTGTGAGATTCTCAATTTCCTATGTTTATAATTTCAAGAGGATCTATTTAATACTTTTTATTTTATGACATAATTAATGACCCCTCTTAAAGAACTTTGGTTATTAATAACGTCAAAACAAACTATAACGACGTCTATCTACCCATCATTTGAAAAATCGTTTAAAAATTCCGTTACTTAAAAACGTAATAAGATTTTTTAACCTGAGATTTCCTAAATTTGTTATTTTTTTATAAATCAAGTAAAAATAGTTGCTTTAAAAGAGTAAATACGCTTTATTTTACAATGCTGAGCGAAGTATTGCGCAATGAAAATCCTTGTCGGCCCCCTTAAATAATAGCCACTTTAAAGTCAATATAACTATAGAAAAATGAGGTTTTTCAAGTTCAAAATCGGTGAAAATTTTAATTTGAACTTAAATAACATATATCATGTTTATCTACACTCAATCTCGTATTTTTTTTAGCTCAGATATGCCATATATAGCTTTAAAGACTGAAATTTTGCTGATCCTTGACAATTAAATATCAGTCCTTGATGCATTGATCAATTAAGGTGTACCACCATCAAACTCATAGAAATAATAATAATAATAAACAAGAGGCCCAAGGACCTTAATGTTCACCTAAGTATAATACAACAGTTTAGAGGATCTATAAAGTATAAGAGGCCCAAGGGCCTTAACGGTCGGTCACCTGAGTGTAATACAATTCTGTAAAGGATACATAGAAGTATAAAGCAAAATTTACAGAAAGCAATGTTGCCCAAGAATTTCAAACATAGGTAACCAGAGATTACAGAGATCACCTCATTGAATCTTGTCTTTAAGTAAGGCAAAGTAATAACCTTGTAGTGTTCATCCCTAGATGTAACATTTATGCAATTTTGATCTGATAGGGCTTGCAGTTACTTGTGAATGGACTTACCTTAAAACTTTAAACTAGTCACTCATCCAGATATTGTAAGTCAAACCCAACATCTGCAAGTTTGAGAGTGTTCATTCGTTGATGCATCATCCATGCAAATTTGGTTCAGATAGCCCTTATAGTTCCTTGGTAATGAACCTGTTCCAAAAACTTTAACCTGGTCACTCATCTGGAAAATGTAGGTCAGATCCAGCATCCAAAACAAGTCCAGTAGTGTGCCTCCTTTGATCTATCATCCATGGAAGTTTGGTCAACATAGGGCTCTTAGTTACTTCAAAATGAGATCTGGTCCAAAAACTTTAACCTGGTCACTCATCCGAAAAATGTAGGTCAAACCTAGCATCTGAAGCAAGTTCAGTAGTGTGCATCCTTAAATGTATCATCCATGCAAGTCTGGTCAATATAGAGCTTATAGTTACTTGGAAATCAGACCTGCTCAAAAACGTTAAACTGGTCACTCATCCAGAAAATGCAAGTCAGATCCAGCATCTGAAGCAAATCCAGAAGTGTGCATCCTTAGATCTATCATCCATGCAAGTTTGGTCAAGATAGGGCATATATAAAGTGTAGTTGGAAATGAGACCTGCTCCAGAACTTTCACATGCTCCAAAAACTTTAACCTGCTTCAAAACATTAACCTGGTCATTTTTCAGCTGAAATTGCAGCATCTGAAACCTTGACAAGTACAATGAAACATACTAGAAGCATCCTCTATGCATCTCTGATTATTATTGGGCAGAGAATTACTTGAAAAGAAATCTGTTCCAAAAGCTTTAACCTGGGACACCGACACTGACGCCGATGCCAAGGTTATGCATAAGCTTCCCCCAACTTCCTTGAGATGAGCTAAAAATCTGGTAAAAAAATACCCTTGCTTATTGTAACATGCTAGACCTGAGTGATCTTCTTAGGATTACTTGTGTATACTTGGTTTGCCCAAGTCTTACGAAGATGATAATGAATGCCAAATATACAAATACAATGGACACTTGCCTAATGTGTAAGGTATTCAATATATACAGATATTGTTTTTGTCACTTGCCTAGAGCTACAATTAAGTGCTACAATTAAGTACACAAAGAGAAATCTCTAATGCCTTTGTATTTACTTAAGGTGCTGCCTCTTAGCTACACATACAACTTAGCTGCTTGCCACTTGCAAACACTTGGTACCAACACTTGCCTCTTGGGTATACAAACAACTTGGTAATACTTGATACCAGCACTCATCACCTGGCTATATAACATGGCTATTTGCCACTTGTTACTAACTACAACATGCCCCCTAGTCACACTGTGATTACTTTGATAAAGTAACAATTTAGTGCAATTTACCTACTAATGTATGGTCTACATGGCTTTACCTGACAATCTCATCAGTTGTTTGTCAGGACATTAACGTTTACCCACCTGTGTACAATGGGCTACTTTGCTACATAAATAATCTTTATGTCAATCTTTATATTGCTTTACAGGCAAGAATCTGACTTTGAGCATGCTTTGCTCATTTAAAACAAACATTCGTATTTATTTTATTTCTAAATAAATAACATTCTTTCTTGTATTCTCAGTCATTCAAATAACCTGCTAATCATTTATATACAAGAATTTCTTAATTAACACAATTTAGCAAAGGGGAGTAACTCTCATTTGCTTCAATGAATGCAATTTTGAACTCTGTTTGCCTCCTAGATATCCAGGGGCAGAGAAGAGGCACATTTATTTATATTTATTCATTTATAGTATTGTATTTAGTTTGCTTGCTTAATACTCAGGAGCAGAGAAGAAGATTTTCAAAGAACTAATGCATTTTCACAATACGATCAATAGAGACCCCCCCCTCCCCCCGGAACACCTGACCCTGGGGCCATATCTAGCACAATTTTAGAAGAGGCATCCGTGCTCATCATAACTATGCACTTATTTTATCTGCTTAATACTCAGGAGCAGAGAGGAAGAAGATTTTCAAAGATTTAATGCACTTTCACTATATAATCAATAGAGCCCCCCAGAACCCCTGACCTTTGGGCCACATCTTTCACAATTTTGGAAGAGGCATTCTTGCTCATCATAACTATGCACTTATTTCATCGGCTTAATTAATACCCAGGAGCAGAGGAGAACATTTCCTAAGAATTAATGCATTTTCACTATATAATCATTAAAGCCCTGCCCTAACACCAGAACCCCTGACCCAGTAGCCATGAAATTCACATGAAACCTACGAATGACAAATGACAACAGAAAAAAATGGATAGCAATAGGTCACCTGAGTGCCTAAGGTGACCTAATACAAGAGGCCCAAGGGCCTTGAATTGCTCTTCTGATCAACTGTACAACCTATCACTTCTATTTGAAGCCTCTAAGTATCCTGTATATTTAGATAAAGCCTTGAAACTCCAAATGTAGGTCATCATGACCTACATTTTAGACAAAACTCTGAGAACCCAAGATGATTCTAAGCCAATTAGTACCTGAGAGTAGGTCATGGTGACCAACTTATCACTTGTCATTCTCTGAGGACCCAAAATGCATCAACTAAGTTTGATGATTCTAAGCCAATTAATACCTAAAAAATAAATAAATAAATATTTAATTATAACCGTAAAATTTCAAAAGTAGATCACAGTGGCCTACTTTTCAGATGACATACTTTGAGGACCAAAAATGCATCAACTGACAATGTATGGTGATTCTAAGCCAGTTAGTACCTAAAAATATTTAAATAAAGCAATAAAATTTCAAAAGTAGGTCATGGTGACCTACTTTTCAGTTGACGTTTTTCAAGGATCCAAGATGCATCAACTTACAAAGCTTTATGATCATAGGCCTTAAAATGTCCAAATTATGCCTCTAAAATGCTTTGAAATTGAATGCCTACAAAATTCAAAAAGTAGGTCCCTATGACCTACTTTTTAATAAATACGTTTTATGGCCCCAAGATGCATTATAAGATTTAATGATTCTAAATCTCTCAGTATTCGAATTAATGACCTTAATTTTTTTGAAAAAGATTAGCCATAAAACTCAAAAAAAAGGTCAATGTGACCCACTTTTTAGTTGACGTACTCTGAGGACCCAAGATACATCAACTGATAAAGTTTGATAATCACAGGCTTCAAATTGTTCAAAATATGCCTCTAAATCATTCTGAAAAAGAATGGCCGCAAAATTTAAAAAGTAGGTCACCGTGACCTACTTTTGAGTCAACATGATATGAGGTCCTTAGATACATCAACTGACAAGCCTTGATGATCCTAGTCCCTATAGTAAGCAAAATATCAACATTTTAATAAAATGTACTTTTTGTTCAACTTTGAAGTGACCTTAAGACCACGCCAATTGCCCCAGGGTGATTCCCCGTGCAAACTTTAATCTACAACACATCCTCATCCTT